TCTTACCATTTGCAACAGCATGGATGGAACTGGAGAGCATTATGCTAAGTGAAATAAGCCAGTCAGAGAACGATAAATATCACATGATCTCACTCATTTGTGGAATATAATGAACAACATAAACTGATGAACAAAAACAGAACCAGAGTCATAGAAGTATTGAATAGACTGTCCAACCTATGAGGGAAGGTGGTGGGGTGAGGGGGTGAGAGATTAACCAAAGGACTTGTATGCATGCATATGAGCATAACCAACGGACGCAGCCGGGAAGGGGGGGTGGTGGTGAGGGCATGTTCTGGGGGTTGGGGGCGGTCGGGGAGAGGTCAATGGGGGAAAAAGGAGACTTATGTAATACATTAAACAATAAAGAACTTAAATTTAAAAAAATGATGAACCCATTGAATCTCTTGAAAATAGACTTTTAGGAGATTTTAAATTCATTTTTCCTTTTTTTAAAAAAAAATTTGCCAATTTTTTTTTTAATCCTCACTAGAGGATATTTTTTCCATTGATTTTTAGAAAGAGTGGAGTGGGATGGGGAGAGAGGGAGGGAGGAAGAGAGGGAGAGAGATGTAGAGAGAAACACTGACTGGTTGCCTCCTGCATGTGCCCTGACTGGGGTCAGGGATCAAACCTGCATGAGGTTTGCATGAGGGATCAAACCTGTACGAGCCCTTGTCTGGGAATCAAACCCATGACCCTTCGGTATTCGGGCTGATACTCTAACCACACAGGCCAGGGCCAAATTTTTATTTTAAAAACCGTATTACTTCTATAATCGGGGAGAATAGACCAGAAAAAAATGTTTTTAGGTTGTCATTTCTATATTTTTCTCTATTGCTACTGCTTACATAATATTCCTGGTCCCAATCTAATACAAATAAGGTAGAACAGAGAATGAGGAATGAAGAGAAAGAGAGGAAGAATCAGTGACCAGAAAGTTCTCTGAGGCCCCAGATTGAAGCACAAGACTACAGTTCAAAAGACGTGGCCCTTGCTATTTTAATCCCCTCTCCTTTTATATTAAGAATTGGAATGTCATTCAAAAGATGATATAAATCTTATTTCTGTATTTCCTAATTTTACTTTAAAAATCTTATCAGCTTTCTAATTACAGTTTCAGGAAAAGTGATGACTTTTTTTTTTTCTCCCACAAATATTTTAAAAATTCTACATGGGAGGCAGTGTGTTAAATCATGGTGATAAAATGATGAAAAAGACACAACTGTCATTTTCTACCTTAAAAAACTTACAGAAATAGACTCTATTGGGCATTAGAATCCTATAAGAGATGCCACAAATGGAAGATAAGGACAAGGTGCTATCGGAGCAAATAGTAAAAAAGAGCTAGCTCAGCCTACGGTTGGGGGAAGTGGGTTGTGAAGGAGGACTTCTTGTAGGAGGTGGTGAGTAAGCTAAATCCTGAAAGGCTCATGATTCTCTACAGCTAGCACATGATGGAGTGGGAACAGGCCCAAGGAGCTAATACACCACATGCTATTGAGTTTGGATTTCATCAGAGAGCAATGGGGAGCCACTGAAGCATGTTAAGCAGAAGGGTTATATGATTATATTTGGATTCTTTAAACGATTATTCCTGCACTTTGGAGAATAGTGGATAAGATTGGAAACAGGGGGGTTACTGCAGTATGGTAGGTCAGAAATGACAAAGTCCAAGGAGTGAGGACAGAGAAAGTAGCCAACGATGGGAGGTGAAATAATTAAGTTAGCAACTTAGTAAACCAATCCCTCCATCCAAGAGAGGAGTCAAGCCAAACATCCTCACTAAAATATGCATCTTATCCCCCTTAATACCTGGAAATGAGTATGTATGAAAATTCTGTTGTGAGTGCTAAAAATGATGTCAGTCAATGTTATGTGAGTATTTAAAAGTCTTTGGAGGAGGAGAGAGAGACCTGAGATTATGAGAGAAACCCAAATCTGGATGCTGAATTGAGCAGGAACTCAAGGAGTTAGCTGGCTGCGTGGTTTATGGGTCTACCAAGCCCGGGCAAGGTAAATGGTGGGGTACTGCTGGTGTCATACAAAGCTGATGCTAAGGTTGGCTGCTTTAAATCATCAATCTAGACTGGAGAGAGCCCTCAGTATGGTGCCTCCCATGCCTATTCCTGTGGAGTGGTGACTGGGGACCAAAGAATGAGGAGCCTGCGTTGCCCATCCTGGGCCCGGGGCTGCAGCTGTGTGGCTGGCTTCAGCCCACAGCTCTGTAACCATTTTAGAAAACTAGCAGATCCTTTTGCAAACTGACCTGGTTTTTATTCGCAGTTTGTACATCTTACAGTTGGTATATTTTAAGTTTTCTCTCCTTAAAATGGTAATAGCCAATATTGATCCAGTACTTAGCATGTACCAGGCACAGCTCTAAACAGTTTCCATGTATCGATGTAAGTGCAGAATCATCGAGACTTGGAAGGAGCCTTAGCTCTTGTGGTGGAAGGAACCTTGGACACATGTGAGGAGAAATGATCGCCCCCAACTGTGTCTTCTATTAGCTGTGAGACCCAGAGTCATGCCTTTTCCCAGGCCTGCTTTCTTATCTGGTAAGGTGGTGAGAGATGAGACGATGAATAGGTTTCTATGTCAATGCCAGCTCTGAGCCAGCTGCCCGGGGCACTGTGTGAGATGGGATTCTGAGCCATTGTGGGAAAGTGCCACAATCCACTAGCAATGTCTGCTGGCATGGGCATGGGAGTACGCTTGTCACCTATTTGCTACCTTTGACTAAAGCATCTCTAAAGGTCCTTCCTGCTCAAATTATTTGAATTCATAGTTTCAGCCCAACTGTCTCACTAAGTGTAGCCTCTTTATAAATTAAAAAGAGTAATAGCGTGGTGAAGGCCTGGGGTGAGTGGCGGGCCAGAAGGTGTCACTGGGGGAAAAAGGAGGACATATGTAATACTTTCAACAATAAAGATTTTTTAAAAAGCTCTAGCTGGTTTGGCTTGGTGGATAGAGCGTCAGCCTGCAGACTGAAGGGTCCCGGTCAAGGGCACATGTCTGGGGTTGTGGGCTCAATCCAGTAGGGGGTGTGCAGGAGGCAGCTGATCAATGATTCTCTTTCATCACTGATGTTTCTATCTCTCCCTCTCCCTTCCTCTCTGAAATAAATAAATAAGAGTATATTACAAGTTTTTTTTTTTTAAAGTAAACATTTGCTTAGGAACCTTGGATACCCCATTTCTGTCACTAAGTATGTAGACTTTAATAAATAATTTAATCTCCTTTAAGTCTCAGTTCATTCGTCTACAAAGTAAGGATAAAATACTTAACCTGCATAGTCATCTTAAGGATTAGATAAATATGTAAAGCACCTAAAACAAACAAGGAATCTCTTTATGCACTGGTATTGAAACTGAATGTTGAACCACTTGTAACTAATATGGGAGCAGCAGGTTCTTTGCAGAGAAAATATTTCCACCTATCAAAACATGGTGTTCTCTCAAGGGACGTGAACAATCATGTTCAACGCATCCATTGTCTTACAGGAAAGCATTTGGAGGAAGATCTTTTTTCCCATGGCAACAACATAAAGATGTGAATGATTTCATCAAAGCAGGACTTCTTTTGATCAGCTAACCTCAAACTGCCTAGAGCAGGCCATGGTGAGTTTGCAAAGGGGTCCCGTTTTGCATATATTTGAGTTTGCCTGTGTGAACAAACAGAGCTTCTGAGGTAAATGTATTGATCACATGAACCAGTAAAGACTTTTCACACTTAAAAACTAAGCAATTTGTGTGTTGTTTTTTTCTTGAGGAATTTTGGAAGTAAATGAAATAGGAAAAAATGCATGATAAAAAAATTTAGTACTTAATTACTTTCAAAAGGGAAAGTGCTGTTGTTTTATTTCTGATTTTGAGTGAAAGGTTGACTTTTTAAAAAATCATTAAAATTCTACTACTTAGAGCTAAACACTGTTAATATTTTAGTAATATCCTCCCAGACTCTCTATTATCTATTGTGTCTCTATATTATAACACAATATAATATAACACTATTGGTGCAGGATTATAATACACACATTGTTTAGCTGTTATTGTTTAGGTAGCCCAATGCACGAAATTAGTGCACGGGGTGGGGGGGGTGTCCTTCAGCCCAGCCTGCACCCTCTCCAATCTGGGACCCCCCCCAGGGGATGTCCGACTGCCAGTTTAGGCCCGATCCCGCCTAAACCAGCAGTCAGACATCCCTCTCGCAACCAGGGACCGCTGGCTCCTAACTGCTCACCTGCTTGGTCACCCCTAACCACTCTGCCTACCGGCCTGCTCGCCCCCAACTGCCCCCCCCGCTCCTAACTACTCCCCTGCCTGCCTGCCTGATTGCCCCTAACCACTCTTCCTGCCAGCCTGCTCGCCACCAACTGCCCCCCACTGCCAGCCTGCTTGCCCCCCACTGCCAGCCTGCTCGCCCCCAACTGCCCTCCCCTCCTGGCCTGATCACCCCTAACCGCCTCTGCCTCGGCCCCGCCACCATGGCTTTGTCTGGAAGGACGTCTGGAAGGTCTCCCGGAAGGTCTCCCAGTCTAATTAGCATATTACCCTTTTATTAGTATAGATTCCCCCACAATCTGGTTATATTTTCATTTCAGTAAGTATAGACTGACCTTATTATTTTTCATGGCTAATAAACCACCTTTTTGCTTAAACATTTCTCATAGGTATTTGGTTTGTTCCAACATTTTGTTACTACAAACAATGAGATGAACATACTTGTACATACATCTCTGAACACTTGTCTGATTATTTCCTTAAGGCATATTTCTAGAAGTTTCTTGTTGAGTTAAAGGGATTAAATTTTTATAGTTATTGCCAGACTGTCATCCAAGAGGATTATTCCACTTAAATCTCTCATAAAAAGTATACGAGAGTGTTTGTTTCCTAGCATGCTTGCTGTGGTGGTTTTAACACATGTTCTGACACTTTACTCTTGGGACACTGGCTCTGAGAGCCTTCAGCTGCCAGGTAAGGAGTCCAATGATCCTCAGAGACCATGGAGAGAGAGAGAGAGAGAGAGAGAGAGAGAGAGAGAGAGATGCTGGAGAAACTCCAGCTGTTTTAGCTACCAGCTGTTTGACTCTTTCTAGCTCAAATGTGTAAGTGAAGAAGCCTTTCACATTATGCCTCCAGCCCCAGCTGCTGTTTGACTATAGATGTACAAGACCCTGAGCAAGAACTGCCTTACTGAGTCGAGTCACCCCCCAGACTATGAACAATATAAATGACCATAATTTTTTAAAAATCACTATTTGGTGCCCAGCCAGCGTGGCTCAGTGATTGAGTGTTGACCTATGAACCAGGAGGTTGTGGTTCAATTCCCAGTCAGGGTACATGCCTGGGTTGCAGGCTCAATCCTCAGTGTGGGGCCTGCAGGGGGAAGCCAATCAATGATTCTCTCTCATCACTGATGTTTCTATCTTTCTCTCCCTCTCCCTTCCTCTCTGAAATCAATAAAAAAATATATTTTTTAAAATCACTATTTGGAAGTGACTTATTATTACACAGCAACATACAACTAGAATAGTTACAACACAGAACACTATTAATTAAAACTTTTTGCCAATCTGGTGAACAAAAATTACTATTTGAGGCTAAATATCCTTTTCATGTATTAATTGGTCAGCTGTATTCTTTGATAAAGTTGCCAATAATTGGCTTGTAATTAAAATCAGGCCCTAACCGGTTTGGCTCAGTGGATAGAGCATCAGCCTGCGGACTAAAGGGTCCCGGGTTCGATTCTGGTCAAGTGCATGTATCTTGGTTGCAAGCTCCTCCCCAGGCCCTGGTCGGGGCTCATACAGGAGGCAACCAATCGATATGTTTCTCTCACATGGATATTTATCTCTGTCTTTCCCTCTCTCTAAAAATCAAGGGAAAAATATCCTTGGGTGAGTATTAACAACAATAACAAAAAAATCAGCATACCTAATATTTAGGGGCATATTAAGAAAAAGCCTATATTAGAAACTACTTTTACATTATTTATGTATTAAGAATGATGGTTCAAAGTTCAATGGTTCCTCATTCTTAAAGATATTACAACCTTAATCAATGGCCAAGCCTATCTCTCAGATATTAGTCACCAACTTTGTAAAGTTATTCATTCTAAGAACTCAGAAGAAAGTTCACTATTTTCCTCTATAAGAAGAGACAGTTACTTTATTTTTCAAACCAATTTAATTATTTTTAAAATATTTATTTATGATTTTAGAGAGAGAAAGGAAGGGAGAGAGAGGGGGGAAAGCAGAGGGGAGAGGGAGAGAGGGAGGGAGGGAGGGAGGGGGAGAGAGAGAGAGAGAGAGAGAGAGAGAGAGAGAGAGAGAAACAACCATTTGTTGTTCCACTTATTTTTGCACTAGGTTGATTCTTGTATGTGCCCTGACCGGTGATTGAACCCACAATCTTGGCATATTGGAACGATGATCTAGCCAACTAGCCAGAGCCAAATTAGTTTCAATTATAAAGGATGATTTTTAATCTTCCTCAAAAGAAATCTCCTAAAAAAACAAGATCATCAAGTAGCCTTATACCTTATGGACTTAATAATACATTAATAAGTGGTCCTGAAGATCTTAGTTTTCAGCTGAGCCTTGAACTAAAACTTTCTTATATGTGACAAAATGACTAAGGAGCTATGTCTTTTTATTTATGTGTAATATAACATTTTTTAGTAAAGTTTTAGATATGTCAACTATGACATGCTCATGACTTACATTAGAATATGCCTACAAGTTAGTTCTTGAACTAGAAATACATGTAATTTCAACACATTTTCCATTGGAGTAATCCTATTTTCAAATTGAGTCATCTTTTGTCACCCACTTAAAACCTTTTATCTTGTGAGTCAATATACTTATTTGTTCAGAGTACTTACAGTAAAGAATGTTTAACTATGAAACTCCTTAGATGTCACTATGGTTTAAGGAGAAGGAGTATTGATCACAGGTCAGAACTAGTACTGATGGCGGGGAAGTGAGGGTAACCACTCCCAGAGCTTCTAAACATTCATGGCAGCACAAAAGGCTACCCCTACTTTCTTAGTTGGATTATCTCCAGAGTCAACAAAAGGCATTCACTAACTACAGTTCAGGGTAAAGCTCAAAAATATAAGCTTAAAAGGAAATTTTGTCTACCCCGATTCAGAGCTACCAGGGATTATCTTACTACCCATCCTGACTCTCTATCAAACTGTGAAAGGATGATATATTAAAGCAAAGAGGCGCACCTGCCGACTCACTGGAGGCGGCTTTACTTTTCTTTTTTGTCTCTGGTGGAGGCTGGAATGGTCTCTGCCTCACGTGCTCCTCCCCGGGGATGGCTGTCAGGTCGTGCATGCTGAAACTCCGCAGTCGCTCAGTGATCGCCCCTTGGCTCTGGTGGAACAGAGAAGTGACAGATCCCAGAAAGGAAAGTACAGTTCAAAATGTTTAATATGCTTACATGGGACATGTCCCCCAACACTTGATCATGAAGCTTATTCATTTTATTATGAAACTTTCAGAAAAGTTGAAATTATTATAGAGTGAACACCCATATATCATTTGCATTTTGCTTTATTTTCTTTATTCCATATCTATCATTTATCTATCCATCCAACAATTTTTAATGCACTTCAAAGTGAACTGTAGATATCAGCACATTCCATCCCAAACATGTCACCTTTATATTTAATTTTAAAGTGTAAAAAACATATAGAGCTTACCCTCAGAGTAAACAGCACCCATAATTTTGCTCTCTCTTATAACTATCATTTGGGGCTTACGCTTATGATTCAGAAGAAATTTTTAAAGTAAGAGCGGTACTATTGTAAACCAAACTACGTCAGGAGTGGTAATGTCTCTACCCAGAACAGGGTAAAAAAAAATTTAAGAGGCTAAGAATCTTGGATACAAAGTGACATTCAGTTAATGAATTCACTCTCTGGCAAGGCATATCTACTACTATGCAATTTGACTTTGTCATGTTAACAATATGGTAGACAATGAACACGTGGATATTTAAATTTAAATAAACTAAAATTAAATAAACTAAAAATCTAGGCCCTTAATTGCACATTTCACAGGCTCAGCAGCCAGCCACATGTAGCTAGTGGCTACTGTATTTGATAATGCAGATACAGGACATTTCCGCCGCTGCAGAAAGTTCAATTATTACATCATTGCACAGCTCGGAAAGGGCATTTCTGAACCTTTCAGACATAACTAGATTTCCCCTTAAAGTATAAAGCTTTGGAAAGAGAAAAAAAGATTTCTAAATTTACTCATTTTGAAAATTTGCATAGCACATAGATGACTCATTTCTTATGTATAGCTGAATTAAAAATATTCTTTTGGTGGATTTTTACACTTCTTTCTCCTTCTCACACATGTCAATTTATGACTGCCTCTAGTTATAAAGTTACCATAGAAATTTGTCCATAATGGTTTATCTTTAAATTTCAAAGCCTGGGTATGGCACTATGAACATTTGAACGTTATTGCTAACATGTATTTTATCCTGAAGGAAATGGTCTTGATTCAGCTACTCCGAGTTTGTGATATATTATGTTAAAATCAAATGCCCTTACCCCACTTAAGTTTTGCAGTTCTACCATATTTTTTTGAGTTTGAAATTACTTGATTACAGGATCTATATCTTCAACAAAAGTAACTGGGTTCCACACATTTTTTAAAACATTCTTGGCATGGTTTAATTCATTATTCTTTCTTCCTCCTTATCAGATATCAGTTACTTACTTCAGATATCTGTGACTGAAGATTTCAGACAGATACCAAAAGGAAGTGACCACCCTAACCTGTTTGGCTCAGTGGATAGAGCGTTGGCCTGCGGACTGAAAGGTCCCAGGTTCAATTCCGGTCAAGGGCATGTACCTTGGTTGCAGGCACATCCCCAGTAGGAGGTGTGCAGGAGGCAGCTGATCAATGTTTCTCTCTCATCGATGTTTCTAACTCTCTATCCTTCTCCCTTCCTCTCTGTAAAATATCAATAAAAATATATTTAAAAAAATAAAAATAAATAAAAGGAAGTGACCAATGCTCTCTGAAACAGATGCCTGGTTTTCTCAGAACCATCAATGTCTTTATTTTGTCTTTGTATTTCTGTGCCCTCTCTTAGAAATGCTTGACTTTTTACCTACTGCCAAACAAATGATAAAGGTTATACGCATCCATGTTACCCTCTACTCGACTCAGGTGCAATTTCCAAGGCTGGCTGTGATGCCCAAACAAGCCCTCCTACTCAAGAAAGTACATCTCAGAATGCAAATGAGTCAAAGTGCCACTGAATCAGTCTAGCTTTATATCGTCCACAAACTTTGGTATCTTTGGGTATAATCAACTAATCACTTAGTATAAGTAATTAGTATAATCAACTAATTACTAATCACAAATGAACCCACACATTGTTAGTTCTGTTGTGCTGTATATATTTTGCCTCCAAAACAAGATTTTAAGAAACTAGGTAAGATGAATAAACCTTTGGCTTCTTCAATTTTCCTAATGTACCTGATATGGTACTGATACTGACATACTGAGCAGGTAATAATTAAACTATTCTTTTTATGCCTCTTCTTTTTCATTACTCTTAAAAACAAAAAGGCTAGAGGGAGGGAGGGAGAGAGAGAGAGAGAGAAAGAGAGAGAGAGAGAGAGAGAGAGAGAGAGAGAGACAGAGAGATAACATGTATTAGTTGTTCCACTTATTTATGCATTCATTGGTTGATTGTTGTATGTGCCCTGACCGGGGATCGAACCTGCAACCTTGGCATATCAGGAGGACACTCTAACCAACTGAGCTACCCGGCCAGGGTTTTTTTTTATTACTCTTGATTGCTTGAGTTCTCTAAAGATAGGGGCTTGTTTAAACATAAACACTGGTGTTTTTATACAGAGGTTAAATGCAAACTACAAGTATTGCCATGGGTATCTACATGGGTAGACTATACCATCCATCAGAGGTTTGTTTCAGGTTTAAATTAAAGGTGAGCAAGGACCAACCCTGAGGTATCTGGGTAATCTACTTACAGCAAAGATTTTAATGTAGCTCGAGTAACCAACCCTACAGCCCTAATTATTATCAATCTCTTCAAGGTTTCAAGAAAGGCCAGGAAAAGCAAATAGAGGCTGTACACCACCTTTGAGGACTCCCAACACTTCAACAGCCATTATCGTTTCGAAAAATCTTATTTTCCCACTGTATATTTTTTAATGGGCCCAGAATAGAGTTAATATGGAAAGAGAAAATTAATGCAGTATTGTGAACTCAGAAAACAGTATATAAATTGTAAGCATCCAGGGAAAACTCTAATTATAAAATAATCACACCTAGATGCAGACCTATTCCCTCTAATTTTTATGTCTTTAGCACAAAAAGTCTATTAAGAAAGAAATTATGTTTGTAATAAAATAAGTGGAAATACGTCCCCTCTACCACAGATTTCGAAATCATATGCATAGTATGATTACAAGTATGAAGTATGGTTATAAGTAGGGAAAATAAGCAAAAAATGAACAGGATAATGTTTAGGCAGATGTGATGAGTGATTTTTCCCCTTTTTTTCCCAACAATTTCTTTAATATTGCAAAATTAGTCATGGATGGTATAAGTGAAGTTTTAATTGTAATGAGATGCATAATAAAAATTTCAATAATGTTGCCCTAACCGGTTTGGCTCAGTGGATAGAGCGTCGGCCTGCGGACTGAAGGGTCCCAGGTTCGATTCCGGTCAAGGGCATGTACCTTGGTTGTGGGCACATCCCTAGTAGGGGGCGTGCAGGAGGCAGCTGATCGATGTTTCTCTCTCACTGATGTTTCTAACTCTCTATCCCTCTCCCTTCCTCTCTGTAAAAAATCAATAAAATATATTTAAAAAAATTTTTTCAATAATGTTTATAAGCTTACAACATTCTTTTACAGAACAATTCTTACCATACTGTTCAACAATGAATGGCCAGTAAGCTCTATTTCTGTTATCCTTGACAAACTACACTGTAATGCAGAGAAGGCAAGTTGCCAGGTTTTAGGGAAATCTCTTTTCCCTATGGACATTCATCGATTAATCTGATCAAGTCTAAAATAGAACGGACTGTATTTGCATTAAGTGAATAATGTGTAATGCAGAGAAGGCAAGTTGCCAGGTTTTAGGGAATCTCTTTTCCCTATGGACATTCATCAATTAATCTGATCAAGTCTAAAATAGAACTGACTGTATTTGCATTAAGTGAATAATATATTTTAGTGGTTTTAAGGTGAAAAAACATATTTATCAAAGAACATTTATAACGGAGAAAAACATACAAAAGAAAAATTGTTTGTAATCTACCACCAAAACTACCTATACCTATTTAAATATCCTTTTAGCTTTATCTGACTCATCATACTTTCTCAACTTCAGCACTATTGCTACTTTGGGTTGGATAATTTTTTGTTGTAGGGAAACTTTCCTGTGCAGTGTAAGATATGAAGTAGCTCCCTGATCTCTACCTCTTGGATGCTAGGAGTAGCATCCTCTCCCTCAGTTGTGACAACCCAAAATGTCTCCAGACATTGCCAGATGTCCCTTGGAAGGCAAAATCAACCCCCTTGAGAAACACTCTTAGAGATATAAGAGGTTTTAGAAGTCAAGTTTCACCCCTCTGTTTTTACAGGTAAGAAAATTTATACTGAAAGAGATGAGTGCAGATGATTTGCCCAAAAATCTCATGGCTGATTTGTGGCAGCATCAGAGCTAAAAATGGCAGATGAGTTGACTGCTATAGAATTCCATGTTCATTATAACATTCTGCTTCCTAGACAATAGGGAAATAGCATGGCCATTTTTCCCCATTGGCTGAACAACTGCCTTTTTTTTAAAATTGCTAATAAGCAGCTGAATATCCTCAAATCTTTTCACAAAACTGAAAGCCACTAAAACAGACAGCAAGATGTCAGGATCTCTGACCTAATCCTGAACACTTGAAGTCAATTAGAGATCATCAAATTTACCTGTAAGGCTCTAATTTCTGTGATAATCGATTTCTTGAAAATAATATCTGCTAAATAATTTACCAAAGACTGCCAGAGAAAATTCTAAGAGATGGTTAATGTGACTAACAGTCTTATTAACTTGTCCTTCATCCGGCAGTAGTGCTGTTCATCTGTACAAAAGCCACCTGCATTTTTCATGTGAAAATCTACGGAATACTGAACACCCTCAGCAAAATCCTTGAAGGTCCTTCATATGTTTATGCTTTGCTCAGCCAAAATAAACTCGTACATTGACCTTGTGAACAGATGCCTGGTAATGAGGTCATAGAACTGAGTAACATTTTCAGAAAATTGCTTTACGGTGTAATAAATGCTCTGTTAGATTCCTATTTTAATCTCTAACAGGCTCAGGTGGTTCAACCGAGGAAACCTAGTCAGGGGCATTACCAATATTTAGAGGTCACACCAAGAGTCCAAATATTTTTAGCCTAAAAGATATATTTTAAGAAACTATATGTTGTAAAATTTTTAGACAATTCTCAAACCTAACTCCTGGCTTTCTTGCAGTTTCTCCTCAAACTTGATCTATTTTCCTATTTCAGTTTCAATTTATTCCTCTGTATGAATTGTCTGGTTCAGTGATTCTTCCATCATGGTGTCTTTCTTTGACATCTCCAGAGATGAAATTAATTTCACCTACTTTAAAATAGGCACAGTACAACTTGAGGCAAATAGTGTTACTGTGATGTTATGTTCAGCATGTTTAATGAGTATTTCTAATGAATAAAATCCAGGATGGTTGAAGCCAACCTTCCTGTGCTCACATTGAGAATGGCAAGGGCCACCTCACAGACAGTGATCTTGATAACAAAAGGATCATGAAATCACAAACAAAAAGGGAAAGTTCCATAATGAATTCAAATTATGGGATAAGTGTTTATCTAAGTGGTCACTTAGATGATTTTATGCTCTCTGTTTCCTGCTTTTGAAGGGAGATGTTTGTAAGGCTTATATATATATATATATGAATAAAAACAATGAATCACAAAAAAAGACAGAAATATAGGTATATGATTCTACAGAGAGGTATTTCTGTGAGATAACCCTATTTTGACTATGCAATTCCTAGTTGTTGAGTGGTGGGACTCCTGGATGACCTTTTTTATTAGACATGGGAACCAGGAATGCATTTTCATTAAGCAAGATATAAAAAGCAAATGTACTTCTTCTACAAGAAAAAATAATCCTTAAATAAGCTGGAAATATTGCTATTTTGGTATTTGCTTATATCTCTACTAATAAAAAACCTTCAGAAGCCAATAATAGGGAAACTGTACTAAAGTGCTGATAGATAATAATTAATAAGACTTGTCTTACATGTATAGTGTTATATAGTGAACTAGAGGCCCGGTGCACAAAAATTTGTGCACTGGCGGGGGGGGGGGGGGG